TCTGATGGATGGTAGAGCTTTCTCTTAGGAACATAAAAAAGTACATTTCACAGGGTTTTTCTACCACCAAGTGCATGGGAAATCTTGGATCTGACAGACTCACTCTCATAATTCCCAAGACTTAGGTGGGATTTGAATCTCTACAATGCTACTTTTCTCTCTCCGTCAAAGGCTTTGTACTCATTTGTCAAAAGCCTGAAGGTAGGAAAAAGGAAATAGATTGAATTGTGGAGGTTTTACAAATGCTCAGCAACTTTTTCCTTTGTCTGTCATCAACTTTTTGATGCAGATGTATTTCAGAAGTTTCATTGACCATTTTCTCCCCCTGCTGCTTTTTGGGTGCAATTTCAAAGCGAGTAGCTGGGAAGGGGCAACTGGAAGATTCATGGGTGTAGTGGCTCTTATTTCAGCCAAGAACCACTTTCCTATTGAATCACTTCGCTATTTTCTTAACTCAGGAACATAGTGAAAGGCCAGATGAGAATGATTTGTTTTTAAGGCCAAAGGAAATGGAAAAGAAGTGAAGTTCAGGCAAGCATACATGAACTTGCATGCTAATCTCTGCGATGCTTCTTTAATTCTCCGTGTATATGTAGGGGGAAGCAGAGAGAGAGTTCTTTGTCTTTTTTTTAAGATTTATTTATTTATTTTAGAGAGAGTGAGAGAGAGAGAGCGTGCGTGCGCATGGGGTGGGGGAGGGGCAGAGGGAGAGAGAGAGAATCCAAGCAGACTCCTTGCTGAGCGTGGAGCCTGATGTGGGGCTCAACCCCATGAGCCCACGAGCCCGAGACCACGACCAGAGCCGAAACCAAGAGTCAGAAGCCTAACCGGCTGTGCCCCCCATAGAGAGTTCTTTGTCTTGACTAGCCTTAGCTGCTGTTTTCCGGATAGAGCCAGCTCTGCTGGTGGTTGGCAACTGTCAAAGGTACGAGACTTGTAGAGTCCTTTTTGACATGGTCCACTGAGCTCATGGCAACTCTGAACCTGTGGGTCTACAAGGAGGACTTGAGACACCTTTGACGTGGCTTGGGAAACCTGAGGGGTGATTTTTTTTCAGACCAAGATAGTTTCTGGGCTGTTACAGACCCAGTGTGATAGGATATCTCGTGACCCATTCAAAGTGCTTAGCTGGTCTAAGAAAAACACTGGAACTTTTCTAGTCGTTAGTTTTCCAAAGGCCAAGAACAATGGGTAATTACAAACTGTGCTGGGCAGTCCCTCCCTTGCCTCCACCCCAACCCATCCCCACCTGTTTACCAAAGCCTTGATCCCCTACAAGGACCAAAAGCAAATATTAGCAAATGTCAAAAACGAAGTTTATCCCCCTCAACTCCAAACTCCAATTAAAGTATTTTGGCCTATAATTAAGTTCGGGCCTCTTGAAGAATGAGTACTATACAGAAGAGCTTTGTTATCACCGAGTGTTGTGGATATAAATATGTTATCCTGAGTTCCAAAGTCATTTTGAAAAAACTTAAGAGGCTTGGTTTTCTTTTGAAATATTGTGTTCCACAGATAACATCGATATTGCATTATTTGGTCTCGTCATCTATTGTTTGGATAGAAAAACGCAGATTTTTTTTTGTCTTTTTTTTTTTTAAAGATTTTATTTATTTATTTGACAGAGAGAGACACAGCGAGAGAGGGAACACAAGCAGGGGGAGTGGGAGAGGGAGAAGCAGGCTCCCTGCAGAGCAGGGAGCCCGATGTGGGACTCGATCCCAGGACCCTGGGATCATGACCTGAGCCGAAGGCAGTCGCTCAACTGACTGAGCCACCCAGGCGCCCTTTTTTTGTCTTTTATAAGCTTCCTTTAACACAAGCAGCAGTCTCTGGTAAGGTAGTATTGCTATGCATTTGCATTGTTATAGAAGTAAATTATGGATTCTGTCATTCAAAAGAGAATGCTTTATAAATCAAGTAAAATCTCATAACTAAGACGAATAAGTTGTTTTTAAGCCTTATGGGGCTTCATATTCCATACTTTAGTTTTACAGCCCAACCTGATGTAATTATTAAAGTGTAATTCTCTTTTTTTTTTTTCTATTTCTGTGTACTGTTTTTGCTTTGTACAAATGTCTTTAGTTTTCCAAGACAAAGCTTAAGAAAAGTTATTATATGGAAAGGACAGTAATATAAAAGCACAAAGGCAAGCAGTAATTCTTTATCTGTAGATTGGCAGGAAATGTGCCAAATACACAGTGTTCTCCCTTTCTTCCTCCCCACCCTCACTGATTGCATTCAATGTAAATGATGTTAAAACTCTAAATTGTAACAATGGTAAAAATCCTAATGTATTCCTTTTCTTTCTATTGTTTAAACTGATCTATTGTTTGGAACTCCTGAATATAAGAGACAGCCCTCATTATAAAGCTTTTTTGGAAGGAGTTACAAACTGTGTTCTGTGTAAACGTCTATGGTTGTGTTTGCCACTCGTCTGGAAAAGCTATCAAAGTGGGTTTGCAATCCTAAGGCAATCCTGCTCAGCAGGTGCCTTATTTCTTTTTTTCACTGCTGCTATGTAACTGTCCCAAAGCATGGGAATCAGAGCAGTGGTCCTCAATGGGGATGGTGCAGGAAGAGGAAAAATCATCTACGGAGAAGGAAGGTCAGCAGTAAGTTATTTAGACCTGGTTAGGGGGCAGGATCTACAAATGCAGCTGCAGTTAGTGATGAAAAGCACTGGAATTCCAAAGAGGGAGCAGAGGTAGAGACTGAGATTTACGATCTGAGCCAGTGTGGTGATAGATGAAACTTTATAAGAACTTCATTTCTCCAGGGAAGAGAGATTAGAGAGGAGCGCAGAGGATTTAGGACCGAACCTTGGGGAAATCTTAATGTTAGGGTGTGGGAGGAGGGAGAGAAACCCCCAAGTATAAACTAGCATGCTTGGCCGTGGATGCCACCAAGCATCAGTGCTCCCCTCGGGGCTGTTAATTCTGAGCCAGAGAACCTCCGTTACACTGGGTGGAGGGTGGAGAACCTAGGGACTAAAATCCTTGCAACTTTGCAGGCTGTGGTAGGTGTAAAATGAACCTAGGGACTAAAATCCTTGCGACTTTGCAAGCTGTGGTAGGTGTAAAATGAAGCTTATGTTTTCTCATAGGAGGCGCATTAGTGGGGGGGGCACCCCTCCATTACTGTGTTTTTGAGCACATAGAAGGATTTCCTGACAGTCCTTATATGTGCTGAAATGATGTAGCCATTCCTAAGCTACTTTTATGAAATCAGAACAACTGGGTCAATACCATTCTCAACTCTTCCTACCAATAAATTCTTCCTTTTCCAGGATATGCAGAGGAATGTAAAGGTATGTGGAAAGTAAGATCTGATTTGATTTTCTAAATCATTTAATTTGGTTAAAATTAAATGGATCATCGGGAAAAATGAAGGGACAAAACTGACAGAAAAAATAGCGGCTCTGATTTCTCAAGCTGTGTTCTAAGTTATACTCAGCTTCTTGCCGTGTATCTGGGTTTGCATTAAATGTAGCTCTCTAAAGGTTTGAAGGACACACCTTGATTCACAGTCAAATTATAGGAATGCTTTAATGACCAGATAACTCCGTGTGGAGGAGTGATTGTGAACGGTTTAGCCCTCTGAAGTAAGGCCAATTCATAGCATGTGTTAAAAACGCTTGATGAACTAACCCATTTCTCCTGCAGATTCGGGTGGCCTAGCAGCTTACACTCTTGGGTAACCCCCCCTTAAAAAGCTGCTTTTTTTCTCCACCTCTCTCTCCAATAAGCTCATGCACTATAAAGAATTTTAGCATCAGTGGGAAAAAAAGAATTGCCTGCAGTTGTGCTTGTCTGAAAAGGATTATGTGGGGCCTGGTCATATGAATGAGAGATTCAGTAGCCTCTTTGTATAGTGCTCACGAGTTAAACAAACACAACAACAGGTCACATTTGACATTGTGATAAATCTCTGTCCAGTGACGTCCTTTGGTACCACGTAGGAGACACCATAATTAGCAGCCATGTCAACATTTAGGCAACACCAAAGGCATATTTGATTGCCCAGGACTGACATATTATCCTGTCTGGAAGTGCGTAAACCATCAATAAAACATTGAAAGAGCCAAGACTCCAAAATACACTTTGGTCTCAATTATCCAAGTGATCTAGGACCATTGCCTCCAGAACCTAAAGAACATGACTGCCAGGTATAAAGATTTACTCTCTGATAAACAGAACATCAGGGGATTTCAGGATGTTTCTCACATTGTATGGACTCAGGAAAAAGAACTTTAAAATTGTCCAGAAAAATGGATCTAAAATTTATCAGGTATATTTATGTGTATCTAACATTTTCCCTCAATTTTCTTAATAGTTTCTATATGCAGATCCAAATCCTGAATCTTATTTAACATGCATGATTTTACATCTCATGTCGGAAATTTTTAATTTAAATCTGTAACGTTATGAGGGTATCATAGTATTCCTAATATTTTATGGGTTTTTTTTTTTTAAGATTTGTTTATTTATTGAGAGAGAGAAGGAGAAAGAGAGCAGCGGTGGGGCGGGGGCAGAGAGAGAGGGAGAAAAAAATCTCAAGCAGACTCCCTGCTGAGCGCGGAGTCCCACAACTCCGAGATCAGGACCTGAGGAGAAACCAAGAGTTGGGCACTTAACCAACTGCGCCACCCAGGTGCCCTTTAATATTTTATGTTTTAAACATAATTTGATGCATATCAAAGTAGGGCAGAGCCGAGTGGCTAAGAGAATGAGTTCTGGAATCAGACCAACTGGGTTTTAGTTCAGGTTTTGTCACTTTATAGCTGCGCAAATTTCTCTTAGTCTCAGTTTCTTCATCTGGAAGGTGAAGATTATGAGGGTCTCAATCTTAGAGGGTTGGTACGAAGACTAAGTAAGTTAATTGGTGCAAAGTACTTATTACAGTACTCCGCACATGCTTGGAACTGCATAAACTTTCGTTATTTTGTTGCCAGATTTTTAGAAATACCAATGCGCATTCATCTAATTTTTTATTTTCAGGGTCGGTGCGCTAGGGAGAACTGCAAGTACCTTCACCCTCCTCCACACTTAAAAACTCAGCTGGAAATTAATGGACGCAACAATCTGATCCAACAAAAGACTGCCGCAGCCATGTTCGCCCAGCAAATGCAGTTTATGGTCCAGAATGCTCATATGTCATCGCTTGTAAGTCACAGCTATGTCTCTGAAAAACTGCTTTTTTTTTTTTTTAAGAATAAGCCCTTGCCGGGCTTTTGGGAACTTAAGTTACGGAAGGATGTAGGATGCCTGCTAATGTGTTAATTGACGCCACGAAGCTGTTGTGCGTGTGAGGGGAGCATTCCGGTGTGTTGGGTTTAACACCTGGGTTGCATTTACCATGAATTCAGTTTATAGAAGAATATTAATAAAGGAGCAGGGCCATTTTAAGATGAGGCAGAGGTCTGATTGTTATTACAGGTAAACTGTTGAATGCTAGGATATTAATCCAAACAAATTTCCTGGCTCTTTCATGGCAGTTTTATTACTTTTTAATAGGCTTTTTATTTTGAAATAATTAGAGGTTGAAGGAAAAGTTGGCAAAGACAGTACAGAGAGTTCCCATATTACCCCTCACCCAGTTCCCCCCTGTTAATTTCTTATGGCATATTTGTCAAAATGAAGAAACTGACATTTTACACATTGCTATTAATTAAACTCCAGATTTTATTCAGACTTTATTAGCTGTTCCGTTAGGGTCGTCTTGCTGTTCCAGTGTCGAATCCAGGGTACCACGGTGCATTTATTTGGCTCCTGTCTCCCTTCTCTCATCTGGTCTGCGACCGATTCTCAGTCTTTCCCTGTTTCCCTTGACCTTGATATTCTTGAGGAATCCTGGCCAGATATTTGGTGGTGGTTTAACTTAACCCAGCCACAGAGTTTGCCTTTGCAGGAATTAAAAAGATTATGTTGCCATTCTAGACCAGTGTCTGGTATTTTTATGGATCAATGAGTTGAAATGGATCCTTTAGAAAGTAATTTTGTCCTATTGAGAATTCATCTTGTCCTGATACCTTATAATATAAAGTTGCAATTTAGTCTTAGACCTTTCATTATCTAGATACTAATTGGAAAGGGGTATGTTGTCTTCATCTATTACCCATTTGGTCAGTGACTGTGTAATAAACTCACTGAAAGCTAAAGACCATATAGCTTTTCAGCTATGTAGTATTTAGATGGATACAATGAAAATGTGCTCTCAGCAAAGCCTATTTCATTATAAAATCGATTCTCAGAATTCAAGGAAATCCGTGTGGACAGGGCAACCCCTTCACTGGTACATCTTTATAGTTAGTGCACTAAACAGGTGGTAGGGGCCTTGATGAGTCACTGAAATTTTGCACCATGATCCTCTTTTTCCAGAAGGTCCAGACAGCTTTAAGTAAAGTTATTTACTTGTTTGTTTAGCATCGCCATACTAGTAGTTTGCCAAAAACATTTGCCTTGGAACTCAGCTGATTAGTTACATTGATAAATCAGCTCCCAGAAGGTCATATGGTTGAACTCCTTCTTCACACTCTTTCGTTAGCTTTCACACACTGAAGTATTTTAGTTCCTCCCTATTTCTAAATGGGTAAGGAAGAGAAGGTGTTCTAGATTCTGGGAATAGTATGAACAAAACCACAGAGAAGTGAATGTGTGTGGTGAGTCCAGAAAATGTGAGTAGTAGGGGAATAAAGCAAGGGAGCTTTTCACCCACCATTATTACTGCTTTTGGCCTCTCGTGGATCTCCCAATTTCAGACTGAGCAAAGAATAGGGGCCAGATTGTATTACACACCTGAGCCCAGCATGTGTTTTTTTTCTTAGGTCAAGAGACAGCATTGGGGCATCAATCAAATGCCCGGTTTCAGGGAATCAGAGAGCAAGGCCTGGGATAAAGTAGGGGTAAAGGCAGAAGGCAGACTATTCATCTGCTATTCAGCCTCCAGGAGAGTCTTTCCGTTCCCCGGCTCCACCATTCATGCATTATTGATCATGCTGGCTCACCCTGGAGACTAGGGAGTGGCTTTTTTTAGAGTCCAATAAGAGATCCATTGAGTTCTCCAGCCTCTTGTGCTTTCTAATTGAATTCTCCATGCTTTCTATAAAAGAATACATTTCCCTTTTTTTTCTTCCATGAGGGTAATTTCAGATTTCAGGCTGCAGAATATGACTGATATGACTCACAGGAGTACAATTTATTTTATTGCGTATCGTAAGATACAAGACATTACTTAGAAGACCCCAGGGAACAATTGGAAATTGCTTTTCTACCTTGTAGATTATTTAACAATGGCTGTTGTGATGTAATAAACTGATAAAAGATTAATTTCTGCGGTTATTATGTATACAAAAAACTAACCCCAAGATGATTGATATGATCCTATTTTGTGGTCTAGAAAGGTTTGTAGGCGTGTTGTAATTGCACTAGTGTGAGCAATTTTAAGTGACATTTACCAGTCTGATTTGAAAGAAATGTTCTTTATTATGGGTCTTGATATTACCATAGAAGTAACATATGATTTTACTTGATTTTTCTGGTACCTACGCTCCCCAAATAACTCTCTATCCCTTTTAACCCCCCACCACCCTGATAATCTGATTCTTCTCCCTAGGCTAGTCAAGCTTTTGTTTAAACTTCCAGTCCTGATATTTGTATGGTTGCATATTAAGCCGCATTTGGTATCACTGGCTTGAACTTCAGGTCTTTCCACAAAGCATACTTTCATCCGTTTCTAGGATACCAAGAGAGCACATCTGCTTTCAGAAAATTGAGTATGGTTTGCTTATTATAAGCCCCAGATAAAGAGAATGTCAACCTAAATGGGATGGTAGCTTCAGAACAGATTCTGTTCAGTGTGACTGAACAATGAATAAAAGCCACACCTAGTCAATTTGGGTGGAATGCTTGCCATAGCAGGCAAGTTTGTTCACTGTATTTAACAGGTCTGCATTGACATTTGCTAGTATAAAATTCCACCCCTGAAAGCTTTTGCTAGCTTTATTAAGGAAGTTTAGCAAGTGAGACAAGGGGCGTGACTCTCCAGTGTTTTTTGATGCAGTTAAGAGATAGTTTCTGATGTTCACAGCAAAGAAAAAAAAAAATCACGTCTAAGAACTCCCCCTGGCATAATTAGGAGGCAAACAGGAACCCTGTAGAAGAATTTCAGGGAAATCAGACACACTGTATCACTCTGAGGCAAACTAATGTTTTTAAATTTGAGTTTCACAACCAGGAATTTTCATTACAGGAGGAAGGATTCTCATTGGTGGATGTAATGTATGCATATATAAAGGTGATATGGTGTCATAAATCTATTAAAAACATTTCTGATTTAGACATTTTGCATAATCTAGACCTATCCATGTCTAGTAAACCCCTTTAGTTTCTCTCTTTGAATGTGGTGATGCACATGGAAACAGTTCTTTACACACAGGTGTACTTGACTGACCCAGTCAAGTGTATTCACCTGATGATTTATATAGAGGTTATTGGTTCAGCCATTGGGGTGTGCCAAGTCCCCTGGTCTGCTATATGTTTTTCGTGGCCTTCATTCCTGTGGCCAAGTTAGGGTGTTTCAAATGACAGAGGCTATCAAAATGGGTTCCACTCCAGACTTGTCCTTTATTGCAAATAGTATCATCTGATGTCTGTCTGAGCCTTCCCCACCTTTTTACATCATTTCTGTAATTCTGTGTACCAAATACATTTCCCATAAACAAGCTCATATGTTTATCTGACATTAATATAGCAAGGAATGAAGGTGAGGTAGCACCTCAGAACCAAAAGGGGAAAAAATAGGAATTTCCAGTAGCTAGGAGGAAGGGAGATACACTGACAAGGAACAGTATCTGGAGACCAGCGTTTTGAATGCTTTTCTCCTTTAATTAAATAGGAGCTATAAGGTGTTGTATTATTCCACGAAACTTTGGACTGCAACAGTTTTAAGCGAAAAGAAGCAGAGTTGCAAAATAATTTATTTACTTTTTCATTTTTGAAAATGTTAAGTACTTAAATGATTCAGTAAAGACAAAGGATAGCATCCTTCCCTAACCATGATACATTCTACATTTTGCCAATTCACATCAGAGTTACAGGTTTTCTAGTTCACGTAGTTCACCTGTAGTTCATATGGTTCATACACAAAGCTAACTTCATTGGCTGAAGTATCTGCTATCTCCCTATTGTCATGGCTCTTTTATTAAAAGTTATCATGAGGGGCGCCTGGGTGGCTCAGTCAGTGAAGGGTCTGCCTTTGGCTCAGATCATGATCCTGGGGTCCTGGGATCCAGCCCCATGTTGGGGGGGGGTCCCTGCTCAGTGGGGAGTCTGCTTCTCCCTCTCCCTCTGCCCTTTCCCCTCACTCGTGCTCTTTCTCTCTCTCTCTCTCTCTCAAAATAAATAAATAAAATCTTTGAAAAAATAAATAAAACTTATCATGATAAAAGGTGGGCAAGCCATTTTGTAGATTTAATGGAAAAGGAAACCATGTCTGTATTCCAGATGACCAGTCTCATGGTCAGTACAGAAATTACAATGTATTTTAATGAAGGTTCTTCAGAGGATTTTGCAGTGTATCTACTCTCGAAATGATAAATGATGACATTTTATTCTTTCATCTCAACGTGCTTACATCTACATGTTTTGTAAAGTGATTTTTGCAAAATATGTAAGTTGGTGATGACAGGCATTATGTATTTATCAGGTTAATATGCTCTTAATATAATCAGGACTGCCATTATCATGTCATTATCATTGACTGAGGTTGACCAAATCACACCATAGGAGTGTGTAGAGTGCAACTAGCCCCAACTTCCTCTGGATTTTACCATGTTTGCTGAAAGGCTAGACAAGATTTCACTTTTAGATATGGCAACTGAAACCTAACATTATTTATTTGTTCAACAAATTGTTCCCACAGGTAGGCTTACCTTGAGGTTAGTGAAAGCTCAGGGCCCCTCATTTGCATGGTCTCCGTCCAAGGCCCTGAGAGGAGCCCTAGCAATGTGTTTACATGTGTTTGTAAAGTTTGCAAAATATATTTGTGTATTCTTTGTTCTTAAGACTCCCCTCCTCTACCCAACTGCCTAAACTTCAGGCCCCACAGATCCTAGATTCACTCCTGATTGCAATTACTGGTCCAAAGTAGAGTCATTATTCAGGTT